TAATGAAAACGGATTTATTCCTGAAGCATATAATATATTTGAAGCTAAGAAAAAAAAAGGAGATTACCATGGGGAAATGAATTCAGACTGGTTTGAAAAAAAATTACTGCCTAACTTGCAACCGAACAGTGTAACTGTGTTGGATAATGCGTCTTATCACAGTGTTTTGTCTGAACACATTCCTTCTTCAAGTACAAGGAAAGCAGACATTCAGCTCTGGTTGACAGAAAAAAATATTCCTTGGGAAGCTGATATGTTAAAAGCAGAACTTTTAGTTCTCGTTTCTAAGTTTCGAAAACAATTTGAATTCCATCGTATAGATGCCGTAGCTGCTGAAGCCAGGACATACTGTCTTGCATTCACCACCATATCATTGTGAACTGAACCCAATTAACTGTTGAGTAGTGTGAAAGGGTATGAAGTATCCGAAAACAGAACTTTTAAAAAGGACGAAGTCCATAAATTGATTGAGAAAGGAATTGATCTGGTGACTCCTATGCAATGGGCTAAATGCGTGAGGCATGTAATAGAAGAGGAAGAGAAAATGTGGAAATTAGTTTGTCTGGTAAAGAACATCATTGAGTGCGTCCAGTTTAATATTGATGAGCTGGATAGCTCAGATTCTTCAAATGATAATCTTAGCGGGATTGAATACTTCAGTTAAAAAAAGGCCCTTTTCAGGGCCACAAATTAAAAATACAAGGGCTGTTTTCAAGGCCACAAATTTAAAAAAAGGCAGAACTATAAACAGTTATAAACAACACTATAAATACAAGATAACATCCATTAGAAAATATAATATGAAAGTGTCCCACCAGTAACCGAACGTTTAAGATCGCTGAATACTGATAGTTTGACATTGTTTGAACCTAAGCGAACGGGCTGGATTCATGGTCAGTTTTCATGGTTTTTCCCATGTATAATGTGAATACGAGCCCATTTCCTTTAGAAAGTTCTCCACGAATATATCTCACCCCTTAGTCAGATAGCTCTTGTGTGCTTTGCCATATTCAAATCACCTAACCTAACCAATATGAAAGTACTGATCAATTAAGTTAACAATGGTAGAAGGAACAACATCCTTTAGAAAATGTGGAAATCTAATTTCCACGTTTTCTAAAGGATGAGATGTCTTCGTGGAGAATTTGTAACAGCAAAGGACTTCTTATATATAATACACTGAGATACTCCAATGCAGAGCTTACAGTCATTACATTACAGTTTAATTTTTTTATAATTTTTTATTTCATATGATCATTTGCACTTTGTTATAACTAACAAAAGACATTTCTAATGTTATATGTTTAACTGATTGGTACAAACTAATAGGTATAATAGATCATTTCTTAATTTTTAATGGTAAAAAAACAACACCCCCCCCCCCCCCCCCCCCCCCCCCCCCCCCCCCCCCCCCCCACCCCCCCCCCCCCCCCCCCCCCCCCCCCCCCCCCCCCCCCCCCCCCCCCCCCCCCCAAGTCTAAATTTTTCATTTACGTCTTAATTTTTAATGGTAAACTCTTTAGTTGTTAGACTGTAAACTGAAGATCTCAGTTTCTAGTCTTTTTATTCATTTTATTTTTGATTTTAAACAGTAATCAGAAAGGTAGGATAAGACAAGTACTGTTGGAAGAGGTGATTATCTGGGCCTGACTGGGAATTGTATGTGACTTAGGAGACAAATAATACAAGATATAATTTTTTATTGATGTCTGTTACAAAATATAATGTCAAGAGTTTTCTAAACAATCGGAAAATAAAATCAAAGTAACGTCTTTAGAAAAAAAAAATCGAAAATTTCCCCCTTGCTCACTGTTTTGGTAGCAACAAGCTGCATAAACTCTTAAAAATTAATAGAAAATAACTTACTACCAGATTTTTCTAAAATTTGTATATTTTACTTTTTAACTAAGCGAAATGGTCTTGGGAAAAAAATTTGGCACAAACTGCAAGCAATACATTGTTAGCTCTTCCGTTTCAAGTTTTAAGTAATGATTCTTTAAATGTCATCAAATTCGTATGCGTCATATTTAGATTATAGTGAAAAATTTCATGTAAATTAAGTGAATAACATGCCCTACATTTTACACTACAATAAACTAACAATTTCAACTGCAGCTTTATCGCATAAAAAATTTTTTACTTAAAAATACGCTGGATTTGGCAAGAAATCGGAAAATGTGTAGCAACTTGGAGGAATTGAATTTCCGTGGGCGGTTTGGTACGTATGGATAACTTGAAGAACAGGGTGAAAAGGTCGTTCTAGCCTTGTATATGTTCTCAGGTTAGCTTGTCGTGAAGTATAGTGCTGCCATACTAGTGTTGTAAATTTAGGAAAGTAAAAGGCTTAATTGTATGTATCTTAAATGGAATTTTTCAGCTTTCATCTGCGAGATAAAAACTGATAAAAAAGGTGATGTCCCACTGCCTGCCAAAGGATTGAATTAACAATGTGTATAAACATAGTGGAAATTCCGTGTATTATTTATTTATTACAATGTTCTTAGCAGTTTATTAAAAAACATATAAACATATCTCAGCTATTGCTGCTAACTATGCCTCAAACATCAACTACTTTTTCCACTGATAGAAGAAATGAAATAATAAGCATATGAGTATTTTACTTAACCTCTGTATTGATACAGTTATATTACGATAAACCAATTAGATTGTTTAGCCATATGTTTCTCACTCATGTGCAGACAAGTAACTGTTTTTTGGTCTGTGCAATTTTACAATGTAGAAGCATGTCAAATCCATTTTCTCATCAGGTTTGTTACAGGGGACAAGTACTGTCTATGCTATATTGATTTTATGTAAAGAAAGCTAATAAACAAAACAATACAGTGTATTTTATGATAAAACTAAATATACATGAACTTGCATCTGATGTTTACTTTACAAAGAGAAACCACCACTAGAATTAGCACAATCAAAAGTCGTTAATCCGGACTCGTCGGGACTTCGGCAATTATGAACGATTATGATCTAAAGGGTATCAAAATTTACCAAAAAAAAAAACTTAATATTTATTTGTTTACTTTATTAAACATTTCTTTCAATGTAAGTTGTTTAAGTTGCTTCCTTTTTTATGTGGTAATACATTTTCTTTAATTCTATAAACAGACATAATTTCTTGTTCAGTTACAAAGTTCCACTGTTCAAGTCCTATAATTGCTGTGTCGAGAATACCGACTAATTTGTCAATCGAAATTTTTTTGTTTTCAATAACGTCTGTCACTTTCTTCGCTATCGGAAGCGAATTATAATGATGAGGAATTTGATTTAAATCATATCAAAGACGGAGTACATCGAGATAAAATTCCACATTTAGTTAGGAATTATAAGCCAAATAAAATAAAAACATCTGCCCTGAAGATAAGGATAGTGCTGACAGATCAACTTCCAATTCATTGCCCACAGCGGCATTAAAGATAAACAAAGTTTAGATAAACAAAGGATATGCCTTTATCTATTTTTTGCAGCAATTCCACTTTTTGTTTAATGGACTTGAAACATACTTTCGCTTTGTAGATCCTTTGCATATTAGTAAATATATATCAGAAATTCTATTTGACATAATCGAAAGTTCAAGCTTACTTTTATAAAATTGCTCTAACAGTCTGCAAAAAATAATAAGCCAAATCCAATTTGAAGATTAAGGAACAACACAATCTGCAACATTAACTGAATTAGATAATTTTAGCTTAGCTTATACCATCCGTTATACATTAATCGCACATTGGTAAACGTATTTTGTGCACGCGCACACGCATATTCGCAGCCGTAAAGGTCTTAAGGTTGTTTAACCATTTTCTGCTCATGCGTCAACGGAAAGTTTGTAGCTTTGAGGTCCGGATTGTAGATCATTCTGGATTATGGGTGTCCAAATTAACGTCTTTTGACTGTATGTGTTGTTAAGAATATAGTGTCTAAGATGAACCATTCTATAAAAGACTAGAGCCAGCTGGGATTATGGGTTGTGGTTTTATTTTATCGAGGGTTCACTGCAGAGCTGTAGCTACAGTTTTCAGTGTCCAGGAACGACTGAAGATTTCATGCCCCTCCTGTTTGCCAAGAATGGAACACATTTCTAAAAGTTTGTAGCATCAATTTGGCATGCCCTGGATGCTGTGCACTGGGATGGATGTCTTCCCTTGCCCGCTCTAACTATGACACTTTCACTGTATTTGCTTTTAAGGCAAAAATTTAAGGAGTAAGTGATAACATCTAATAAATAAATGTTAGTCTACAGAAAATGGGTCTAGTTTCTTAGAAAGGGGGAAAAATCTGATTTTGGATCAATATCATATATATATATATATGTATAAATTATGTGTAGTTTTATCTTCAAAAATCCAGAACATTAATTTTAATTTAAAAACTGGACTTGTAACTGTGTGCTCACTTTAAGCATGCTTTATCTGGTTTTTAAGAAATTTGTATCACTATATTAATTGCAGGTCTAGAAAATTTCTTCAAAAATGGTTAAACAACCAGTGAAGCTAATATGGCTAAACTAGCTTCTGCTATTAAATTGGCAAAAAACTCATAATTAAAAACTTATTGAAGTACATTAAGTAGCAAAAAGAAATGTGTTTTAAAATTCATCTGAGATGTTGAGAGTATTTAATCATAGTTAGCATAGCAACAGATTTACTGTTTGAGTTTAGTCTAACTTTTTGCATAATACTCTTTTCTGTTATAAGATTTGCTTATTGATTTCAAGGTATTAATTATTTCATTGGGTACTTTTCCGTTTCGCCGGCGCAAACCTTGCCAAGTAGACTTTATTGGCGAAAACACAGAGTATACACGTAAAAAGTGTTGACAAACGTTAGTTTTAAGAATTTTTTATTTTGTAAGGTATAAACATTTTAATATCAGTTTAAAATTTTGTAAAAAGAAAAGCCAATAAATTTGTAAAAAGACATTAATTTAAGAATTTACTACGCTTTCATCGGTACAACATCCTGATTCGTCCAGGTTCATATCACGTGACCCCAAGCGATCTCATCTCATGTAAGCTACGCTACAAAAATCTAATTCTCTCAGTAATTATCTACATTAATTTCAAGGTTTAAATCTTAATTTGGAATACAAGTTTAAATGTAAGAATTATTTCAATTCGTACGAATAGCTTACTCAGAAATTATGTAAAACTGTAGTGCTTTACTTCGCTTAGTGTATTCTCATTACAGTTAATGAATTTATGACCCTTGGCTTTGCCCTTTTCTATATTTTTGGCCTTCGGGTAAGGGGTGTGATTGCATCCTAATCAACTTAATTACCGCGAATGGCGTTAGGGAATAAACTGAACTATCTGGTACAAATTCTATATAATTGTATGCTAGCATTGAAAGAAACAATCAATCTGATAAGAAATAGGCTGTGACTTGTTTTGAAAATGCAAAAGCGTAAAATAAAAAGTTACCAGAAAGGATATTTCACGTTTGGCATGAGTTGTACCATTATTGGCGACTTTATCGCCTGCGCCGGCAAAACGGAAAAGTACCTTTCATTGTTATTAATATACATTAAAATATACACAAATTGTTATTTCTTAAAAATAATTTAACCCTTTTCTGCTAATTACAATTTTGTGGTAGTTTCAAGTACTAGTGGTACATTTCATTTTTGTGCTGATTATCAGACGTATTGATGTTCTGTTAAGAGAAGTTTCTGCAACTTGGTTTGTGATAATAGTATCTTATTTTTTAATGTTCATGATTATCAACTGTAAACCAGCAATGTGACTGTAAATGTTTTGTCTTATATGTGTGACTGATGTTTAATGCTTATTTGACACTAAACATCTTGTATTATGTTATGGTTAAGGATTAATAAATTACTGTCTTAAAATATTTATGAGTCTAATTTGTTATTTGTGTAATATTTTTTCTTGAATTTGAGTCCAGGATATTTTCTTTTTAATACCATATAATTTGTTTGGTAATCATTATTTTTCTTTTGTTAAGAGACACGGAGCTTCGTTCGCTGTTTATGCAAAATCAGTATATGCTAAAAAATATATTCCTTTTAGTATAGTCCTAGAAATTATAGGACTATATTCCAAGTCCTTTTATTGCATTTTAACACTTATTTAGCCACACAACTTTCAAGTCTCAATATATGGTGCCTGTAGGAAAATGCAAAAGAATGATGTTTCCAAATATTTTTCCAAATAAAGCTGAGTGTAAAAGAAAAGTGCATTTACTGACATAGATTTTATAACAGAAGTGCTTTCAGTGATTCAAACACAGTCACCTCATAAACTGCAGTTAAATGAAAGAGAAGTACTACAGTGTTTGCTGTCTTACATTATGTGTGTTACCTATACTACTATTAAAATTTTAGGCACTGTTTATTATTTAAATATTTATGTGGCATACAGAGTATAATAATGTTGTTTTTTAATCTCAACACAGAGAATGTTTACAAATTCTTCATGCAAAGAATTTATCTTCCTTAACAATTTTGTAAGCTGATTTTACTGGAACTTGTGCAGAGTGTTTCAGATATAATTAAAATTCGAGATTATATTAGGATATTAATTTATTCATTTTTTATAGTTACTCTACAATATGCTACAGAGTATATTGTTTTATTTGGCATGTATTTGGTTAAAATGTTGAGTGATGCACATACAGTGGATGGACAAAAATATGGAAACACCTTGTTAAATGCATGTTTGAAAAGAAAGATTGATTTTAATGAAATATGTAGGTGGCGCTGGCATTTTTGACTACTGACGCCACCTATACAACTTTGTAAATGTGCTAAACAGTTCAGTTGTTTGTCAGAGTACTGTTATGTGAGGTTGTCATTGCATTATGTCAGAGTTAACAGACTTCGAATGTGTGCAAATTGTTGGAGCACGTATGGTAGGTGCTTCCGTAAGGAAGGTAGCCGAGGTGTTTAGTGTTTCAAGAGGTACTGCATCGAAGATTTATTCCCCATATTTGAAAAGCGGAAAAACATCATCTGCTAAATCACAGCGCGGACGAAAGTGTGTCCTGAGTGATCGTGACAGACGATCATTAAGGGCAATTGTGACGAAAAATAAGAAGACCACAGCTGCAAAAGTTACTGCTGAAATGAATGTTGTGTTACCGAACCCTGTGAGTACCAAAACAATTAGAAGGGAGCTTCATAAACAGGGAATTGCTGGCCGAACTGCAATTGAGAAGCCACTCATCAGTGATGCTAATGCCCGTAACAGAAAAAGGTGGTCTTTAAGTCATAAAGGCTTTGGACTATAGAGCAGTGGAAGCGAGTAATATGGTCTGGCGAGTCTTCTTTCACATTGTTTCCCACTTCTGGCCGAGTTTACGTCTGGAGGACGCCATCTCAAGCCTATAATACAGACTGCTTGTTGCCAAGAGTGAAACATGGCGGGGGTTCTGTTATGGTTTCGGCAGCCATATCGTGGTTCTCTGCTAGCCCCATGATAACTGTGTCAGGGCACATGACTGCCAAGACTTATGTGAACATTTTGGCCGATCAAGTTCATCCCATGGTACAAACTTTGTTCCCCGATGGTGATGGTGTCTTCCAAGACAACAAAGCCCCTGTTCACACAGCTCACATTGTCCAGGACTGGTTTTCTGAGCACAAGGATGAGTTGTCCCATCTCCTCTGGCCACCACAGTCACCAGACCTGAATATTATCGAACCTTTGTGGTCTACATTGGAATGGAAAGTGCGTTCTCCTTATCCACCGCCAACATCGTTATCTGAACTTGCCACCGTTTGCAGGAAGAATGGTATAATATTCCCTTGGCAAACATACAGGAACTGTATTTATCCATTCCGAGAAGACTGCAAGCTGTTTTGGATGCCAACGGGTTTCCTACACCATATTAAGCAAAGAAACATGTTTTTTTAAAGGTGTTTCCATATTTTTGTCCAACCCCTGTAACGTATATGTCAGGGTATGATATTAATTGGTAGTTTGAATGAAAAATTATAAATGAAATGTATGGCTTACAGATAATTAGACTTTCTCTGAGTAATAAATCCCATTTATGGTCAGCTAACCATTACAATAGTTTGTCATATTAAATATTGATAATTATTTACAGATTAGATACTCAGTAACTGAATGGGCTGATTACATTAAGTTTCTGCAATTTTCTTCTTATGCTGGGTATGTTTCTTCTTATGTTGCAATACGTAACCTGACTTAATCCAGTTATAGTGACATACATACTTATACAGTCAAAAGTTGTTAATCCGAACTCGTCGGGACTTCGGCGATTCCGGATTATAGATCATCAGTTTAAATCTGGTAAGATGGCATGCAGAAATTATGAAGTTAAAAATATGAAACTGTAATTTATGAAATAAAGAACAATTATGATCTAAAGGGTATCAAAATTTACAAAAAAAAAAAAAAAAAAAAAAAAAAAAGCTTAATATTTATTTGTTTACTTTATTAAACATTTCTTTCACTGTAAGTTGTTTAAGTTGCTTCGTTTTTTATGTGATAATACATTATCTTAATTCTATAAACAGACATAATTTCTTGTTCAGTTACAAAGTTCCACTGTTCACGTCCTATAATTGCTGTGTCGAGAATACCGACTAATTTGTCAATCGAAATTTTTTCGTTTTCAATAACCTCTGTCACTTTCTTCGCTATCGCAAGCGAATTATAATGACGAGGAATTTGATTTAAATCATATCAAAGATGGAGTAATAAGCCAAACAAAATAAAAACATCTGTCCTGAAGATAAGGATAGTGCTGACAGATCAACTTCCAATTCATTGCGCGCCTCGGCGTTAAAGATAAACAAAGTTTAGATAAACAAACGTTAAAGTTTAGATAAACAAAAGATATGCCTTTATCCATTTTTTGCAGCAATTGCACTTTTTGTTTAATGGACTTCGAAACATACTTTCGCTTTGTAGATCCTTTACATATTAGCAAATATATATCAGAAATTCTATTTGAAAGTTCAAGCTTACTTTTATAAAATTGCTCAAACAGTCTGCAAAAAAATAATAAGCCGAATCCAATTTGAAGATTAAGGAACAACGCAATCTGCAACATTAACTGAATTAGATAATTTAAGCTTAGCTTATACTGTCCGTTATACATTAAACGTGCATTGGTAAACGTATTTTGTGCACGCGCACATGCATATTCGCAGCCGTAAATGTCTTACGCGTATGCGTAAACGCGACGCATGTGCAGAAAGTTTGTAGCTTTGAGGTCCGGATTATAGATCATTCCGGATTATGGGTGTCCAAATTAACGACTTTTGACTGTATATGCATATATATATGCAAGATAAAAAATATGTGAATTAAAATTATAATTTAAACTAATGGTAAAACATTGTATCCCTCTCTGTTCTAAAAATTCCAATAACTTCTCTGGATTGCATCATTTCTAGATCATTCTATGGCCTGCGCAGCTCTGATGACATAATAATTGAGAACTTAAACTACCATTGTAAACCAAAACTTTTCTCTTCGCGTGCTTCCATCTTTCATAACTACGCACTTCAGCTTCTGTCTGTGCTGTGCTTGGACAATTTTGCTACGCTGCTTCCTATTGCAGTAATATCAATAATGGAAATGTTCTTGAACAGGCACGATTAGAGTGTCAAGTAATCTGTGGCCACATAATGTCACTTGGAAATAAAAATGGAATTAAAATCTCCTCAACTGCCAAGTTTTATTTACAAAGTCAACACAGCTTATGATGCAATCAGAATACTTCTTAGGATAACTATGCATCAACTGTGCTCCATTTTTTCCTTGCTTTTATTATGTCATATATATATACACACATAAATAAGAGTTTAGAAATTTGAAAATTAATATTGTAAATTATTAAAGTAATGCAGTATACTCAAATTAATTAAATAATCAAGATGTAATAATTAAATAAAAATTTTCATGGCTAATAGTCTGACAGGAAGAATGTACATGGAAATGGAACAAAAACATAATACAATAAAATAACAATGCTAAAAACAGTATAATAATAATAATAATAATAAAAAGTTGAAAATTATTTGGTTTTTTTTTTATTGGAAAATTATTTTGGAAATTTTTCAACAGTCACATTTTTTAAATCCAGATTTTCTATATTAAATCTGGATGACTATAAATTCATAAAATAAGTCAGAAATACATGCCGAATAAAGAACAATTAAATTAATTAAAATAATGTAAGGCCTAATTCAAAATTCAAGCAACAAAAATCAGCATTATATTTTCAAATTTTCACACACACACACCACACACACCCAACACAAAAAAAAAAAAAAAAAAAAAATACTGTGAAAATTTGAAAATATAATGCTGATTTTTGTTATTTGACTTAGTATTTGTTCGGCATGTTATTGTGTCTTAATTAATGTAAGACCATTAAATCCTTTTTTATATATAATACAAATAAAGAATGCAGTAAAATAAAGTGTGAAAAATTATTTTGAATTAAATTTTATAAATAACACATAATAAAATTTTGTCAATTTTGTACAATTATTATTTGTTACAATAAGGGAGAGAAAATGCTAAAAGTTATTGAAAGTAATATTAATCATAACATGTGTATTATTAAAATTTAAAATGTGGCTGTGAACATTTACTAGGGAAATAATAATTTAAAAATTTTAAACTGAATACTCTAAGAATAATTTTAGAAAACATATGGTATTTTAAAGCTATTATGCTTCTAAAAATGTAAGCTTGTTTGCCCAAAGATTAGAAGAGAATTAATTTATCTAAAAAGCTAAAACCTTTTCTCTGTCTTATCTTTTTATATTTATAGGCAGTTGATGAAGTTTTTTTCTATGGAGTCAATTCCAAATCTGAATGCTTAGTTGTACGAATATCAAGAGGGCATAATCAAGAGGCTGAAGCCTGGATTTATATTAAATTAGCCAATGGGAAGACTTACCAGTTGAAACAAAGTAATGGTTTCCAAAAAGATTTTGCAGGAAAATGCCAAATTTTTTCTTGCGGTGGTTTACAACTACATTACTTATGCCCTATGAGAAGATGGAGAATATTTTTCTGTGGAATGCTTAAGTATGATTTTTAATGATTTGCTTTGCTATTTTGTATTTCTTTTATTTTAATTATAACATTTAATAATTTCTGAAAATAATTTTAGAGAAATTTCTGAAAGTATGGAATCTCAAGAAAATATGGCTTTTGTAAAATTTGCATTTATGTAAGTTGATTTTTGATATGTTATACACTAATGTTATTATCATAGAATCAGGCTGAATATTAATGTGCCTCAATATTCACATTATAGTAATTTCATGTGCTTATTTTATTTGTTATGAATTATTTTTATTATATATACATATTATGAATAAAATTACAGTTCTTTTTATGTAAAATAATTTTAAACATTCTGCAATTTAGTAAAATTTTTCTTTTTGAAGATGGACAGCTTCTTCAGATATACATGATTTTAGCTCTGATATGTATCCATTCTCCACTGCTAGTGGTATAGCTAAAGCTGAATGGAAATATCCTTTCATACCATCTGTGAAAAAGTAAGATTTTAAATTTGTCAAATTTTTTCTAAATGTAGATAGATTTTTATACCTACATTTACTGTCGTTTTTAAAAATTTCTTTCAATTAATTTTTATCAAAGCCATAATAATATTTTTAGTATATTATATACACACTGAGATAGTTTTGAATTAGACAGATCATCAGTTTCACTTATTTAGAATGTTAATGAAGTGACAGTGATATCAAAATCAATGTATAATTTAGATTGTCCACATCTATTCTTTCCTGAAGGTGGTAATCAGAGCCAGTAATGGAAAAATGTGCTGACTACAACCATTTTACATATGGTCTAATAACTGGAAGAATTTATGAGGAGGAAAAATTCCTGGCTCTACTCATACAATGTAAGAATTAACCTATATTTGGTTGATGATGAAAAGTCATCCAGTGAATAGGAGGCATACAATTCAGAAGTGAATGTGGAGTATCATGGCTCTTTTCTCAACAACCAGATGCATTAATTACACAGATCATCTTCTGTATTGTCAATCATATTTACACATATGTCATAAGCCATGAAATACATGTGGACTACTTTGTACTTGTATCATATGTATTATGCTGCATTAAACGGAATCCCACTGCTAGAGACTAATGAGGATACCCATGGTAATATCCAGGTATCACAAATAATGCATCATACATGAAAACAAATATTAGAAATGGATGCTGTAGATGTAATCTATTCTAATGTAATCCAGAGTAATAAGTCACAATTCTCCTGCCCTAGTAGTGATTGCCAGTTTGCATATATTATAAACAAGTATGAAGCTGTATTCAATGCTTATGCAGTTGGATTTCTATAAGGTAGTTGAGAAAAGTGTTTTCTTTCTAAATCCATGAACTTTCATTTAACAGATTCTGAACATGAATGCTTCCATAGGATTTCCATAGGGTAGTTGAGAAAAGTGTTTTCTTTCTAAATCCATGAATTTTCATTTAACAGATTCTGAACATGAATGCTTTTACAGGGATTTTGGTTACAGGGCTGTATTAGCTGATCATCCCATTTATATTTACATGAGATCTGTTCAGCAAATCATCTTCAGTAACAAAACATTTTCAGCAAACTATCTTTTTACAAGATATAAGCCTTGAAATTTGAAAGTTTCTGTCAAATGGGAAAAAGTAGATGCCTTTCTTCTATATATCCCAAAATATTGCACGGTTGTAATGTTTGAAAGAATCACTGTAGCAATATCTGAAAGAAAACTGAACTCAGAGAAATCAGAACTTTTGCTAAATAAATAAAGTTACTTATTATTCAGTTATTTTCATGAAAATAAAAAATTGTTTTTGATTTTTAATTACAAGTATGTCAAAGAAATACATACTGCTCTTTAATTATATGCCCTGACATATTCAATTATATGGAGTTGATTTGTTATGGGTATGTTGTTTATGAATTTATCTCTTTCTCATTATAGTTCCATATTATTTTTTCTCTAAGTTCAGTATTTTTCTCACCGCTGTACCAAAGGGCACAGTTTTTAATTCCAGAGAAGGCGTGGATGTAAATTGTCTGTTCTTTCATGGGATGTAATGATGGCTGCATGTTAGGTGGTTCCATAATAAAATGGTTACCACTTTTGGCCTTAGTAGTGGTAAAAGCCTAAAATGGCTAGTGCCTGCCATTGACAATATTTTCATTATTGTCCTAAAATAGTTTTCCCCCTTAACTACAGATCTGCAGATAAATAATTTATGCAAGAAATTATCTAATAGTTATAGAATAAGTTATTGAATTAATGAACATTATTTAAGAAATTCTTAGAATATTCATTTAATTGTATTCCCTTGTGAAAGTAGAACTGTAATTTAATTTCAAAGTAAGAATGGAGAGGGATTATAAAAAAATATAAGAATATATGCATTATGTCAAATGTATTTTCTAATGTTCGGAACTTCACTGTAGTGAAAAATGCTAGATATTTTTAGTATATTATTAGTACCTTAGTGGATAATTTGTTATAAACAATTTTTTACAAGTATCCTTTTTATTTTTAGAGTTACTGAAGCTTTAAATATCTATGCACAGTCAGGAGTTATTAATGGTACAGTTTCTGTTAATGAAGGTCCAGACTATGCAATGTATTTATTTGGTGAAAGATTAAGAAATATTGGTAAATATTTTTATGTGTATTTAAAAAATTTTTGATTATGAGGTTTGAATGTTTTATTAGCTGTCTTTAATAATTTAAAGCAGTTAATCTTGTATATTGTACATAATGAAATATGTTATTAACATTATTATTCATTATTTGATTTTTATATCAATCTTATACTATCAATTTCCACCATTAGTCGCATAACTCATATGTTATTAACATTAACATATATGACAGTCATGTATTATGAGTTCCTCAAACCAAACGAAACTATTACTGAGGCTCTCTGTGGAACAGCTCAGTTTCCATAATAAAATGGTACTCTGATTTCTCTGAGTACCATTTTATTATGGAGACTGAGCCTAGCTCTCAAAGAAAAATGCACCCACTACTACTCTAGACATGATAAAATTATTCTCCTTAATGATAACGCTCATTCACATGTTGCAGCGCCGATCAAAACTTACTCAGAAACATAAAAATGAGAAGTTTTCCCCCTTCCACTGTATTCACCAGATATAGCTCCTTCTTATTATTAATTTTTTTGATTGATTATACATGGCCATAAAAAAAATTGGGTCAATTTGTAGATAGCCTCGAAAGATGATGCATTCTTCCAATGCGGTATCCGTGTGCTGCCAGAAAGAGAAAGATGGTAAAAGATGGCAAAAAAAGTAGTGGATAATACTTTGAATAAAACATAACATATTGTTCTTTCACAATAAATGCCCAATTTTTGATAAAAAATGGTGAGGACTTATTTGTACTCTCGATATTTAGATACTTATTGAAAAATAAGCAAAAGATCAATAATTCAATAAAGCAAAAAATCAAGCAAAAGATTGGCATAGATTCTGAATACCACATATCTGATTTTGAGAAAAATCACATGATTACTTATACATCATTCTCCTTTAGCATATTATTAAACATTGACAAACAACTTAAAAATGCAAGCAAGTGAAAAGAACAAAATTTCAGATTAGTTGTTTTGGTGCAATATATAGATGCTACAATAAAAAAATTGGAGAATGATTTTTACTTTTTTAACCTCTCATTATTTAATTAATCATGCTTCATTTATGTATCAATTTTTAGGCAAGATGTCTAATATTGATGGCTGCAAATTTAAACACATATTGGGAAACATACCTCAGGTAATATTATATAATGTTTACAACTGTATTTGAATGATTGTGTAGGAATTCTGTATTGTAGCAATCATTAAACGATTTTAATTTTATGTCTCATGCAAATAAAAGTAAATAATAATTGCTTTTAATAAAAGTAGTAATTATATCTCTATCAGTAATTTATTAATTTTATGTGCTTGTTTCCATATTATCAAAAATATAATTTAGAAATATAATTTCTGCATGAGTTATGTTATAATTACATGAAACTAAAATGAAAAAAATAATAATACTTTTTATAAGCCAGGTTTCTTGTTGTTAGTATTATGCAATTAGTATCAATGAAATTGAAGTTTTGTTGGATTAAATCAAAACAGAGCTATACAGATGCAACTGTTTTAATCCACCTTTTTAAAGTTATAAGATGACATTAAAAAGTAAAAGTCATCAAACTTTTAAAGTAAAACATTAGTGTTGGTATTCAGCTGACTTGACAGAACTGTTTCCTAAAATATATTTAGATTATGAAATGTAGAATGTGACATAGTGTTATGCATTTAATTTAATAGAAGTGAAAAAAACTAATACATAATTGCTGTGATATTTTGCAAGGTAGCCATATATTTGAAAATGTCAGTTTAAAGTTTTATTTATCTCAAGAGCTTTTATTTTAGTAAAAAAAAATATTTACAACTTTGGGGAGAAAAGGTTCTGTACCTAGATAATTAATGTATACTTACACAAATATTTTATGTTAATTACAGTAATGGTAGATTATTTTATTTTGTTTTTGCTGTAACAGTACATAATTTAATGACCAAAAAAGTTCAGAAAGATTTAGTGGAGATTCTTGACATTAAAATATTTGACTACCTTTTCAGCTATATCATTTCACATTATTTAACCATTTGTCATTTTGATAGGACACATTGTGTCTGATCAAATCATGTAGCTTGAAAATGACTATAAATGAATAGACAAATTAAAGAAATTAAACAAAATTTATTGTTGCAGAAAATATTAAAAAATTTCAATCATTACAAGTATATGAATTTATATTTTATGTTATCCATATTTCAGAATGGATTATTTCTGCATTTGGCAGAAGTGTCAGCTCCATATGTGTTTAAAAGGTATGATTTAATATCTGTAACAAAATAAATTTATGGTGTGATTTGATTTTGCAGTAGACACTTTTTTTTTTCAGTTTACCTATTGGTTTTGTGGTGGAGCCCAGTGCAGATGTAAAGGCTATCGAGGATGGATTCGTCATTACAAAACTATTTGCAGTTGACAAGTCTGCAGAAGATGTGACAGCAAATTTCACAGCTGGTAAAAAAAAGGCACACACACACACACACACACACACACACACAAAAAAAAAAAAAAAAAAAAGCAGCATATTTTTTCAACTGCTGCTTTTCTGGTATAAATGCAATTTATCTGTGCTGTTAACAAAGGTTTTCTTTTGTTGTCAGTATAATGAGGCTTGGATTTTCCGTATGATACAAGAATTTTATTAATTTCTATTATTATTTAATAAGTTCTAGCCTTATTTTTATCTTTTTCATGTTGCTCCTCAATTTAGAATAATTAAGGCAGTTTACCATTCTTTTATGTTGTAATTAACTAAAGACTGATTTGTAGACATTCTATGTTTATCCAACTAACGTAGGATCGATATAGCACAGAATCAACACTTTGCATAGGATTGACACCATGTAGCTTACCTACTGATTAAATATTATGTGAAAATGGAAAGATTTGAAGCACTTAACTTCTAAATTTATTCATAACTAGGTCAGTAATAACTATTGACCTCAAGAGAGAGAGAGTGAGCTTAGTCATGCTGAGAGCGAGGCTTTGTTATAAAATGAAGAGGAAGATTTCTTCCTATTTTCTCCTTTTCAAACTGAGTATTTTTCAGTTATGTGTTTAGCTGATTTGTCAGCAAAAGTACAGGGCATTGATTTCAATTGCAAATTTGCATGTGGGCTGAATGTACAATCTGAAAGCAGCTTTTGGACCTGAATGTATTTTTTTAACAAAGTAAAAATTGTTTTTAACAGAATTTTTTAAACTAAATTTTTTAATTTGACTTATTGAACATTTCTCAAAAAATACATAACCATTATTAATGATAATAATACAAAGGGAAAAGTCTAAATTTATAATATTTATATCCTGTTTAAAATCTGAAAAGATGCAAGAAATATCTGTTGTGTACGTTTTTAATTCATTCAAAAGTGACATTCAAAAGCTATGCAGAGTGTCAAACATAGGTATTGATGTAAGGTAGATCTAATAAAAATCACAAATAAACATGATTTATAAGCTACACATTATTTTTTCTCTATATATGAACTGCACAGCTATGCAGCTGGCTAACCAACTAGTGATTGACTCAAGAAAAGTTATACATCAGAAAGATCAACTGTATAGAAAAAAATGGAAATATCAGAATAGTGAAGCACCACCAAATGTGGACTATTCAACTAAATATGCTGATCATACCGAAGAAGGAAGTTCCCCCATCTTATCTTAGTTACAGCCATGCAAGCACTCAGTGACAAAGCTCCAACACAATCATTTTGTCTCTTTTCCATGTATCAGAAGTCATGTGCATAAGCTCAGTCTGTTCCTCTATGCCACAAAACATTTAAGCACCATCTTTATAACAAATACATAATTTAAATATGTTTGTGAGCCATTTAAAATTGCAATGGGAGGTATATGTAACCTGAGGGCGGCTAGTTTGAGACCACTGATATAGAATATCTCTGGCAGCTGGCTTTGGAGTTTCAGGTAGCAGATTATTAACGAGGAGGGGGGTGATGTTATTAAAATTTAGTAAGAAAAATCTCTGTTGTTGTTCAGTTCTTAGATCAGACTTGAGAGCTATCAATGACGCTTTAAACTGTGTGATCTTGAAAAAAGGTGTTTGGATTCTGAGTAACAGCTGTAGCTCTATTTACTATGTTTCTAAATAGTGGAGACTTGGTGATCATACTACTGTGAACATTGTTCGAAAATTGAAAACTTTGCATGTAGACATCTATGTAAAGGAAATGCCTGATAGGTTATTTAAGGAAGGTAGCCTTAAGGATACACTGAATCTTTGAGCCCTTTCTTTTCCAGAACTGTCTAGGTTCAGGCTTGAGATCAGTTCATTTTGAAGAGCTGTTTTTGATCGTAATAGGTTTTTTTTTTTTTTTTTTTTTTTTTTTTTTTCAAATTTTCTGGTGCCGTGTTATTTGAGGCTAGCAGGAGAGAGACCTAAACTGCACCAGTTAGATTCCTCAGCATCCATCTATGTCAAGAGTAACTCATGACCCAAGTGCAGCTTTTCACAGGCCATTTCTTCTTATATCCTTTTAAGTGTCCACTGCCATAAAGACCAACCAGAAATTGATTCTGTAGTGTCTCAGAATCCTCTGCTACTTCAGTTCTTTGGGACATTTTCATTAATATTCATTCAGTCTTTCAGTCATGATAATAATGGAGGGCATAATGGTAAGTTGTTGATTTTATCATGAAAAGTTTTATATAAGTGGTTTAATACAGATTTATAAGTATTTTTAGGAGAAATACTGAAGAGTAAAATTCATATTAACTAGCAATTAATAATTAGGATTGTATAAAATTAATATAAATTAGAAGTTGATCATATAAAAATTTTGCTCAGTATTAGGTATTATTTCTTGCATTCAGAGCTAGCTGTATTTAATGGAATATAAATAAAATTGTTTACTCTTACACTGGAATTTTCAAGACTATTAAATAATCAAAATAAATGCATAATGAGGTTTATATTTAGCTTTATAATCTTTATAATAAATTTTTAGGTTTCATTTACAATGAAGTATAAAATGATACATATTAAATACACAAGATATTTGAGAAAAATTGTGGCAGTGTTACATGGTATATTCAGGAGGTTAGAAGAAACAAAATGTTACTTTGTATAATAGGTATGCTGTACCTTGAATGTACTTTTGATCTGGTGAAGGGATACAGCCTCTAATGCAGAATAAGGAGAATATATATACAGATGTACAGTGGAAATGAATGCCTGTGAATGTTGATGATAGTGACTGTGGGGAAAAACTGCGCAAATACGAGAAAATGGAAGCAAATGAGTAAAAGGTATTCAAGAAATGTTTTCATTTGACTGTTGTGATTAGGTGCAAAACTACTGCAAGTAGTAAGCAAACAGAAGAATTTCAGCAGGTGTAAAGTTGATGAAAGATGTACACATATTAGATAATCAATCATGGTACATTCTTTTTTAATGTGTACAATATTAATGCAATATGTATTATCATTCAATGGTGTAACTGAGTACTCAGATCGCTAATGTTGATGTAAGCAGTGTTGTGTTCTTGGATGATGGACTATCTAATTTGTTTAAAGATGCCTAGCATTATCTCACTATCGTTCATGGCTAACTTAATGCATGGAAGAACATCTCAGTAGTATTCAAAGGATTCTAGTGCTAGTTCAAGGGCTAGTCATTTCATATGTCCTCATAAGAAAAGTGAGTGGTTTTTCAAGTCTAATGATGCCCTAATGGAGAAGACACAATTAAGTGGAAGTCATGGGTATCCCTTTTTTCTACCAGAAGTTGTGATGTCATAAGATATTCATAAACAGAGTAGAAGTAGTGAACTGAAATCATCCTAGTTATTTTTTTTTTATTTAAACCTCAAGAGTATACCAAATAAAGTTGTCACATTTTTTATGAGGTTTTACATATATCATTTCATGTTAGCATACTAAATGTTTGAATAATGTAGTTATTTTAATTGTGCTTAGGATGTCTACATTTTTTGTTTTGATAATATATTTCTGTTTTTCTAATGTTTGGCAATTTCCCAAATTTTCTCGCAGCGAAAAAGTATAAATTAACAGGAAAAATTGTTGGAGAATCCATTGTTTTTAAAAGTGGCAAAGGTTGGAGTGGCTTTCTTGAAGTCCATTTAATTGAATTAAGTATACAGAACTTCAAAGGAAATGGGTTAATTATGTGTGGGTAAGTAATATAATTTTTTTTAAATTTTTAGTAGAGAGAGCGAGAGAGGTTGTATAAATTTCTCACTTAAATTCAGAATGTGCTGTGTTATCAAAATCGTTTATTATAAAAATGTAGTTATTTTGTATTTATTATTTTATTTTTTAACATTTTCATTTATTATTTTATCTTTCACGCTGTGTATTAAATTGTTTTTAATGATTTTAACAAACAATGTTCCATGCCAGGGCCAGATTACTAATTAGGCACAGTAGGCACGTGCCTAGGGCCTACGAAGGCCAAAGGTCTTAGGGCTTTGAAAAAAAATATATTGAAATAAAAATACCCCAAAAACTTATAAACATTTTTATATTATTATATAGTGAAGGTCAAAATAATATATGTAAATACAAATACACAAAAAATACGAATACAAAACGTTTGGTTTACTAAGTAGATCCTAAAATAACTCCTTTTTTCGGGATTTTGACACAGCGAATTCGTGTATTATATCTTCAAAATTAATGCCGCGAGCGACATCACTTTCAATACACAGAAGGCCCAGTGACGAAGTTCTCTCTTGACCCATAGTTGAACGCATAAAATTTTTAATAAGCTTCAACTTGGAGAATGATCTTTCTCCTTCTGCATTCGAATCCAATATCGAAAGGTATATGCGCAATGCAATATTAACATTTGGGAAACTTGACACAAGTTTATCCTTTATTTGTAATTTGATGAGATCCGTTATAGAGGTGGTTTTGGGGTACAAATTTGAAAAAATAAAATACTCATCAACAAAGTTTTCTTCTAAGTCAGACGGATACATTTTTACCAGAGCTTGAGCCTTAACCTTGATAATGTCCTCGGTCAGTGTATTATCCGTAAGAAAACTAAATGTGTCATAAAGGCTGGTATACGCAGTGCGTCTCTTTGTCATTTCAGCGCAAAGCACATCCAGAACAATAAAAAAAACATTAATCTTAAAGGAATCTTTGGCACTGCGAGAGGGAGTCTCATCTGGCCCTTCATCGAACTGTGTCGTTTTCTCTTACGAACTCTAGTTTCGGATTCTTTAAATTCTGAATCTGGTGCAAGGGCTTTTGCCTTAAGATAATAGCTATTATACATGTCCTCAGTTCTGCAGTGAGATAAATATTGAATTAAACTGTCGTAAAGTCGCACCATCGTGTTAAACTCGATGCCAGGTTCTTGAAGAGATTTATTTACAATATCGACGTGTTTTAGTAGATCTTCCCAAATAACTGTGAGTAATACCATCTCCAAAGTATTCATTTGATGGATTAAGGTTTGTGCCTCAATCACTGTTGTAGGTTTCATACCTTCACTAGTTGAAATATTTGTAAGAATACCACGTATATCTCATCATAATGGGCACATAATGTTTTTACAGCCTCATAACGTGCTGACCATCTGGTCTCTGAAAGTCTTTTTACAGAAATTTACTTCCCAAAGACCTTAGTTTAGACTATCTTTGAGGGGACGCTGCAAAGAAATTGTAGTAGAGCGATTGCAAAATTTCAAAAAAATTTTACAGCTTCTAAGCAGCTTTCTGCCGCCGCTGTGCCAACTAGATTAAGACTATGAGCTCCACATGGTACCCAAGTGGCTGCACTGTTGATTTCCCTAAATCTAGTTTGTACTCCCGAATACACTCCGCTCATATTAGCCGCATTGTCATAAGACTGACATCTGCAAAATTTTGGGTCTATTCCCCTGATTTTCTAAAACTGAAATTAGAGTGTCAAAAAGATACTTGGCATCATGTTTTTCTATTTTAACAAACATCAAAAAATCTTTCATATATATCTCCAGTTTTTGACATATCTAATAACTATGGAGAGTTGATCCGTATGGCTAACGTCAGGTGTAGAATCCACAGTGATTCCATAATACTTGGCTTCTTTGATTTCTGTAACTATTTTTTTTTTTCCAATACTTTTGACCCCAGTAAAATTATTAGTTCTTCATACGTTTTGGGAGGATAAATATGATACTTTTTTTTCCGCGGCCTGGATTATCGTATCTTCTTACATGTTCTTCTAGAAACGGATCAAATTTGGCTAAGAGATCGATACACCCAAGAAAAAATTGCCATTACTAGGATCACCATGTATTTCATTATCGCCTCTAAACGCTAGTCCCCTTTCGGCCAAAAACTTAATTACTTCCACTACTCTTCTTTAAAACCGTTGTCCCAATATGTGCTTTCTTTTTTCCTTGACAATATCAAACGTCTCATCAATTTTTCTAGTTTGTTGGTAGTTCACTAAAGCAGAAATAGATGCAAAATGTTCTTTTGACACTTCATGACTTGAAATTCTCGAATGTGCGTTTTTTTCCAGTCATTAAAGCCTGTAAGGAATTAGTTACACAGGTTTGGATTTCCAGGTAGGTCCGATTTGAACAAAATACATTTATAACAAAAAAAACTTGCCAGTAGATTCGGAAAATATCAACCAGTCCCTTTTTATAATATCATTGTTGTTCAGTTTTCTGAAAAAAAATAATCTTGTGATGGACATCTCATTATTTCGCCAAATTTAGTGGCGTATAACTTAAAATTTATATCCAATTTCTGCACAGGGTGATTACGAGAGAAGTAATCGATAAGATCTGCGCTTATGGTTGGTCCACCGTGCTGGATCAGAACTGAAAAAATACTTGAGGCTGATGTTGTTGGTAGTGATTCAGGCACCACCTGCTTGGAAGCGTCGTTAAAATTTCGTAAACCCCCCCGTCAGCCTCGTCTTCTGTGACATTCTCAGTTTTATTGGTTGAATTCTTGCGAGTCCCAACAAGCCTCAGCTTCTTTAGGTCTAACCTCGATCGAGGAAATATCTACCGCATCTGCATTATCTTCTGTCTCCTTAGAAATGTTAACATATTTCAATAAAGAACCTTTAATTTTACTAAGCGACTCACTCACTTTCTCTTCTTTTTTTGCGTTTTTCATGTCCACTTTGGTTGTTTTTCTTTTATATCCATCAGACATTTTTCGCTAAAAAAAAATATTTAAAAAAAGCTTTTATAAATTGCGCTTAAAAGTTTAAAATAATTTTTTAACTTTCTGATATACCATAATAAAAGCGATGGGCACGCACAAACTAAAATTTAAACTTGTTTTCTCCTTCTTCTCGTCACCTTTAAATATACATTTTAGTTTGCGCCCGTCGCTTTTATTATGCTATCAGAAAGCTAAAAAGTTATTTTAAATTTGTTAAGTAAGGCATTTTAAACTTGTAAAAACGAAACCCGGATTTACGAGTATGGATTAAAATTAAGCTATTCCAAAGGTGATTTGGGACTGTACTATTTCTACGACTACTACTGGAGATTTTTTACAATAGTATGGCCAAACCACCCCATAGTAGGCCTACTCAAAGTTCCTTGCATTGTGCTGCATTCTACGGTGGACTATATACTAATAAGAAGTGATAAAATGAAAATTCTATTATTTATAATGGAATGAAGCAATATTCCAGAATCAAAAAACTAGGTTGAAATAAGTAGAGTATAAAAACAACTTTCCTTTACTTACCTTACTTATAATAAATTTAACTTCCAGTTTTTAAACTAAAGATGAACTTATGGTTGAGCGTGATTAAATACAAGCACAGGCATACACGCTCTATCGTAGTGTTTACATATTAACTTATTACACAACTGAGCTACTAAAAACAAAAGACCTTAGCAGCAGGGAAAAACCTCTCGATCGCGCGCAAGCGTTTTGGTAGTGGGCATGGAAACGTGGCCCAACGTGTTAAACGCATGTGCCCGTCCGAGAGGTTTTCCCGGCGGCTAATGTCTTGTCATGTTCATGTACTAAAACCCTGGAATTCTGCATGGAATTTGGTAGATATAAAAGTTGCATTGTTGCAGATAAACTCAATTCTGGAATTATGGCTATTGAAAATGGCTCTATGAAAAATAAAAACATTAAAATCCCAAAATAAAATAATGTTATTTTACCGCATCATCACATTTTCGGATTTATATCTACAACAAAATTATTACTTAATATTAGCGGTCAATTTCAGTTAAAAAATGTTTATTATTTCGGGGCCTACGCTGCTGGAGTGCCTAGGGCCTACGACACCCTTAATCCGGCCCTGTTCCATGCGCATTATTAAACATCATCTGTTAGTAAATGTGCTGTATATGGTATTACGTAGATATTTTTTGACTCTATAGAATTTATGAGTAATGGCTCCAATAAAGAAAACCTTCCATAAATCAGCAAAATCTGCTGTCTTTAGTTCGTTAATTTAACTGTAACTTTCATTTTCTAAGAGTTTTTAAAAATATGTATGTATGGAGCATTTTTTATTGAAAAGATGGAGATACAATGAAGAATGGAGTTGATATCACTACTTCCTTTACTTGAAACCTGCATGCAGATGTATAAGTTAAATTTTATTTTAGAATTTTTCTCATAATGATTCATTTTCAGTCTCAGTTTATAAAGGGATATTCCAATGAAAAAGGCACCATGCATACAAATTAAACATTTCTTAAGTACTCTTAAAATATGAAAGTTATAATTAAAGTATTGAACTAAACACCAGCAAGTTTTTGATTGTGGAAGACTTTTAAGAAATTTTAATTCATCAGGCGAAGTAATTTTTTGTATTGTTTGGAGTATGCTCCTTTAAACTGCTTCACATTTTAAATAAAACACTTTAATGAACTATATATGTTATATTACAAAGTAAGTATAAATTAAGTAACTTCTTCATATTTTGAACCCATGGCAATGCTGTCTCAAAGCAAAACCTTTTGCTCATACAGTTGAGGTCTGCTATAATGTCCTCTATGGGAGATCTCAGCATACTCCCCACAGATGGCTGTTCAGAACATCAAATTACCTCTTACATGAAATTATTACTTACCATTATTCTTAGTAAACACATAATTTCTAGACTAAGTTCATGCTTAAAATATAACATAGGGATGTAAACGATGAATTACCCAAAATAAATAGCATAACTTATTAATAA